CACAGTTTCTAATGTAAAAGCTCAGCAACACTGCACCTGTGAACAAATTTCAAAATGTTCCAGTGTGACTTACTAATTTATTATACATCAAATACTGGTAAGGAAGCTGGATTGATGGTGATGCCATAAATTTTGGGTTGAAAGGATATAGATAATGGGGACCAGAAAAAAAGAGAAACATATGAATTGAGGTGAGATAGATCTTATGGTGCAAAGAAGGAGATTTTCTGGATATGAAATGAAATATAATCTGGGTTTAAAGGGTAAAGATAACGGGGTGCAAGTAAAGAGAAATCTACAGATTGAGTTAAAATAGGTTTTGGGGTGCATATAACAAATAATTTATGGAGATGAATTGAATGTATTCTGGGTTTAAGAGGTATAGATAATGAGGAGCAAATAAAGAGAAATGTATGAATTGAATGGAAATGGGTTTTGGTGGGCAATAAAGAAAATTTGTGGAGATGAAATGAAATGGATACTGGGTTTGGAAGGTATGTGAAGAAGTATTACTTACTTTCAGTCAGGAAGCTATTCAAAGTAACAAAGTAAATCACTACAGTCATACCTCGGAAATCTGGTACGCTTGGTGAACAACTTTTGTACCGGATAGCAGAGGTGACCAGATTCTAGAAATATAAAAATAAAAAAATGTGAAGCCAGAAATAGAAGGGGAAAAAACTATTGACTCAAATGTCAAAAATGTCCTATTGGCTTGTTTTACAGGAGTTTTGAGGGAAGTTTGTGAAAAAAACCGGGTTCAGTGCAAGGAAAACTCTGCACAAATAACTTTGGAATCTTTTTTTGCTCCAAAATCTTGGCTTTGTAGCTAAATCCGCCTATATAGCCTACTTTTGGAATTTGATTTTTCTGTTTTTAAACACCGGATATCTGGCTGGGAACCACCTTGGTGGACCAGAATCCAATCACATTTTGGAGGGTACCGGATATCGGAGGACCGGATTTCCAAGGTATGACTGTAGTCTTATTATTAGAAGACTCTTGATTATGAACTTCAAGATTACTTTAAAGTTGTTCTTTAAAAGTGATGTGTAATGAAAAGCTTGGGGAAAATCTCTGAAGGCTGAGAGACGAGGAGTTTATATACTCTCCTCTCCAAACATAACTGTAGTGATATTTGTCTATATCACTACATTGGTTCAAGGTTGATAATTGCCAGTGATGCTTAATTACATATGCATGTTATGTGTAATATGTAATATAAGCATTTTAACTCTTGATACTGAGTTATGAGCTGTAAATGATGTGTTATTACATATTACATGTTAAATGGCGATTGATAAACTACGCCGGCCAGAAACCAGGAGCGACGCCGGGTTTTCTTAGCTCGGACTCTGATGGAAGTTATACAGTGTGTATACAGAGGCACTTTGCCTCTAAACGGTGAGAGGTACCTGTAAGGGCTTCCGTAAGACTCTGAAGCCGGGTTTTGGGATTGAAAGTGGGCGTCATCCCTTCCAAATTGTTATAGGTTTCTTTGAGACTGATCACGGAAGATCTCAAGCTGTCCATGTTGGACCATAAAGTGAAAGGTACACTCGAGAGCTCTCGAGCGTACGGGATGGCTATGTTTCCAGCTGACAATGATGGCTTTTGAGATAACACATCAAACCTTTCAATATCAGAAAAGCTGTGCATTGTAATCGAGGTCCCATAATGTGTACATAGATTCTGCTCTACAGCTTTCTCTTTTTCTCGTCTTTACTTCCCTTTCAATTGGAACCTTCAAAGAAATACCTCAATTCTTGCCCCAAGTCCTCTCTATTTATGGTGTTTATCAAAACAAATCATCGGGTAGGCTTTTTTGCAAACAAACCCGAAGCTGATTGTGAGCAACCACCACAACTACACTCGGCTTCACATAGGGAAGTCGGCGTCAGAAAGGTTTTGACCGTCATTATAACATTCAGAATCCGGCTTCAGAATGTTTCTGAAGCCTTTACAGGCCGCTCCGACCTGTATAACTTCCATCAGAGTCCGAGCTAAGAAAAACCGGCGTCGCTCCTGGTTTCTGGCCGGCGTAGTTTATCAATCGCCTGTTAAATACTGTTCCTAGACTGTATGTATATCTAATTAGTTTTGTATATAATTCTTTTAATGTTACAAGTTAGTTTTGGGTACATGTATATGTACTCAGGGCTGACAGTTTTGGGGTGCAACGACAAATAATTTCTGGAGAGGAAATGAATATATCCTGGGTTTACAGGGTATACATTATGGGGTTCAAATAAAGGGGAATTTATGAATTGAATTGAAATATATTTTGGGGTGCAATAAAGAATGATTATTGGAGATGAAATGGATATATATTCTGGTTTTGAAGGGTATAGATAATGGGGTTCAAATAAAGGGAAATTTATGGATTGGATTGTGAAAGGTTTTGGGGTGCAATCAAAAAGAATTTCTGGGGATGATGTGACATATGTTCTGGGTTGAAAGGGTGTAAATTTTGGGGGTACAGTCAATTGGAATTTCTGGTCTGGAATGAAATGAAACATCTTCTGAGTTTCTCAATAAAAAGAATCTTCAAATGTGGAATTCAATATAATTTTTTTCAGGGTTACACCTTGGAAATCCAAACAGGTTGAATGAATAGATCAAACTGTATTATAGATTTTTCTTTTGATCAAATCCAAGATAGTCACATGACCATTCCATAATTTGTTACCAAGGTTTCACCCCTTGTACTTAAAAGAATCAAGCCATTCCATCATACACAAAAGAAGTTCTAGTTTCTCACCTTCATCAATGTGTCTGGATCATCTTTTACCCACTTTTTTTTCCATCTGTAGAGATCTCAATAATTATCTCATGAAGAATTCAGAAGACCAGAAAGATGGAACCACTCTAAGACTAGATCCTCTCTACTGAATTCAACTACAAAAAGAATATCTTGGGAAAAGACCAAGCCAAAAGAAGAACCAAACTAAACCCAAAGGTCAAGTTGTAGATAAATGAGTCAGTGGGTTAAGTAAAAGGTGGGTAACCACCACTAAACCCCTTCTTTTTTTACATGAATTTTGAATCTTTTTCAAACTACCAAATGAACCAACTTGGAATTCTTACGTGATTTTTTCTGTAAAAGAACTAATCAATCTATGATTGATAAATGGTATCCTAGACAGCCTGTTTATCTGATTTCTTCAAGAGAAGGACCCTTGTTTTAAATAATTTGAATACAACTCTTCAAGGATCAGAAAAAAAAATCGGACCAAAAGGAACATGAATTAGGATTGAGGATCTCTATAAATACTCGTCGGATCTCTGCTTATCTTTCAATTTCTTGTAGCCCGCATTCAACTTTTAATCCGTTATTACGATCGATCGTCCAATCCACGACCGTTTACGATCAATCTCCGCTGCACACCTTCAAGATCTCCTATTCGATTTCTTTACCATCCGATCCCTACAATTGTAAGTTTCTCTCATCTGCATCTATCTGACCTTTTGTACGTAGACTGCTCTTGTTTCCTTTATGTAGATCCAGCATTAGTGTTCTTTAGCCTTTGTGCTATCTCATTGCCCAGTATAGTCTTCGTGCTATCTATGCTTTGTGCTCTTTACCCCTCGTGGTATCTAGCCAATCGCTCTAGCAAGTCGTTCGTTCTGAAAATGCGGATCAGATTGAACCAGTTTCAGTATCAACCTGATCTGAACAATCGATCTTCAGATTCAAGCGAACAACCTTTTTGTTCAATCAAAAAGCTATGAACAAGTTCTTCCTACTCTTTTCCAATCACTCAAGTTTCATCAATTTTTTTCATATACAGTCATTCTCTCAAAAAATCCTTGACCAGAATTCAAAGCCAAATCACTTACACATTTGGTGGGTAAAGCTCGGTCAAGGTTTTTTTGAAGTTGACTGTACAAAAAAAAGTTCTTGAAACTTTGGGGTATTGGAATTAGTATTTAGTACTCAGACTCAGAGATACAAGTTCTTAAAAGCTTTTGTCAAAGAAAGAGTTGAAACCTACCTATTTAAAAAGTGTTGGATACACATAAATCTCATGAATGAATGAACAAGTGAAAGATCTTGGTCTTCATTGAATGGGTATTTTTTGATATCAACACTTCTTTTTTGGGTTTGAAGAATCATGAAAGAAAATATCAATGGATCATACCACTTTTGATAATGGAATTCTGGTTTTGAAGGTTTCAACTCTGGATTTCAAAAAATTTAGGACTGGTTGTAAGAGACCCATTGAAATGGGTTTTGAAAGTCTTTTGATTCTTCACACTTTGGTTCAATACCTTTAAGAAGTGTGAAGGCCATCATTGAACAGTAGTACTGTGGACTAAAAGATAAACAGTCATCAGATATCCTCATGAATGAGATAAAGCTAAAGAGTCGGGAGTCGAAGAAAGAGCGTGAAAGCACGTTTGTCAGAAAAAAGCCGACCGAATTCGCTTGTTGACCAGACGAGTGAATCGGATCGAGTTTGATCTGGATAAACGATTGGCCTCTTCTCGCTAGTAGTAGTCATGCTTGGGTCTTGACTCTCAGACCTCTCAAGGGTGTATCTTGAGGATATTCAACTCGAGGATGACGATTGGAGCTAATGTCAAAAGATAGAGCACATCGCTCAGCATGAGGGTCAATTTCAAGACCCATCAGATTCAACACGATTGATCTAACTTTTCTTCTCCTTTGAACATGTTCTCTTTCCTCATCTATCTTCACCATCTAATTTTTTCTCATCACTCTTCCGTTCGATTCCAAGTTTATAGATTCATAAGTACTAATGCTTTTGATTTATCTCGTATGAAGAACAGATCTATTGAACTTTTTTAGGCTGATTCATCATAAAGGGTAAAGGGTAAACAGGAAAAGATCTTTTGGGTATTTTATACTTCTTTACTTATCTTCATCACATATTTATAGTGACTGACTTGATTTGTTTTCTTTGTACGGTTTGATTTCATACCAGTTGTTTTTAATATTGTTCGATTTGATTTGTTTGAAGATTCGGGGTTAAAGAATGCCAGAAGTAGTTTATGTTGAGTCTAGTTCGGATGACGAATCTTATGTTGAATCTAGTTCAGAAGAAAGACCAAATGAAAAAGTGATTGTATCAAATCGAGAAACCAAAGTAAGTCTTCTTATACAAAAACCAAGATCGTATTTGATAATAAATTGACCTATTTCTTTCTTTGTAAAACAATAGAAAATCAAAGATTCGAATCAATTAATCGTCACAAGATTCGTAGATAAGGAAAAGAAAACGAATGAAGAGATCGAAGCGTTAAAGAAATGTAACGATTATTGGAAAGAGATTGCGCACACCCGATTAAAGAATATAGAAACGATGAATGTAGCATTAGATTCACAATCCAAAAGGATCTATGAATTAGAAAGATCAATTTCCGATACAAAAGCTGAAGAACTTCGAGCAAAGAAAGCAAGATATGATAGTTGTAAACCTCATGACCTCGATTCAACGAAAAGAATGTCAAATCAATATGGAATCGTGGTTCATAGTATTCCTACTAAGATGAACTTGAATTCATCTGATGAAATCAAATCATTTCAAATCGAAAACTTTGGATTCTTAAACTCATTAACCTCAATCCAATGGATCAATCCAAGAAACCTAGTTGGCAAACTCAACTCATCAATCGTGATTTATTTAAGTGATTTGAACGAGTTTGAAATCCTCTTAAAGAAAAGTTATGTTTTATTTGATAAACAAGTTAAACAAGTTAAAAAGTTTGTGTCGAATTTTCATACTGCTACTGGTCCGGGTGGGCTTGGAAAAGTGGTATGTTTTAAGTGTGAAGGGGTGGGTCATTTTGCTAGAGATTGTATTTCTACTGCAAAGATTGGATTTCAAAGAGAAAGTGAAGAAAGTGAAACGGGTCAAGTAGAATATGTTGAACGGTTTTTGAAATCGATTATTGATTGAATTTAAGGATTATCTATGTTTGTCATTCATTCTCTTCACATCCATTCATTTGGTTTTGAATACTGAAGGCTTTTTTTTGTGGGACTTTCTTTTTTTGGGGGGTTTGTAGTTTGAAGAAATTGGTTTGGGTTTTTAAACAAAGTTGAGGAATTTGTGAAATGTTTGTTTTTCTTTGGTGTTGGATTTTTTGAATCAAATAAAAAAATGAACAATCTTTAAGAGAGAATTGAAGCAAAGAATGACTTTCAACATTACAAAGTGATATTGAAAAACAAATTGTATATTGAGACATTTCTTTTTCTCAATCAATGATTGTGTACTTTGTTTTGTTTTTGATTTCCCTTGGATTGGTTGATCTGTTTTGATCCGTAAATTTTAAACCCAACGCGTTACAAACTGGGTGAGTGTTAAGATGAGGTTCAAGGTTGAAAGATGAATTAAGTTTCAAGTGACTCTAAGGTCAAAGTTTAAGATTAAGATTAAAATTTAAGTGTAAGTATGCTTATAAGAAGAGTTTGATTGAATTTGAAAAAGTTTGAATTTTTAAAAAAAGGTCAGTCAATTCCAGTCAGAGTCAGAGTCAATCGAGTCAATCGAATCGAATCGAATCGGAATCGAATCGAGATGAAACCGATCGAATTGGATTCTCAACCAAATCAAAATCAAAATCAAATCAGTAACAGAAGATTATCCATCATCAATCAACCTAAATCACTTCAAATTCAACTTCAACCTAATCCTACTTCTACTTCCAAAACAAAATTCAACTTGAAACAACCCATTCTCACCAGATCACCTTCTAATCCATTACCATTCATTCAATCATCAAATTCAAAATCAAAACTACCAGAACCAAATCATACTCAATCTCATCATTCTTCAAATCAGATATGTTGGATTTGTTGGATGACCATCAAAAGATTGGTTTATTCGATTTATTCTCATCTCATCAATCTTACCATCACTTCAATCAATTCGATCTGGGTACCTAAACCTATCAGATTAAGATCAAATCATTCTCTTCATTCATCTTACCTTCAATCTCATTCAAACTCTTTAGGACTCTCAAACCAATCTTATTTGATTTGTATCGGTTTATTGATCTTGGGTTCAATCGAAATCATCTTTAATTCTTCATCACTCGATCCTCATCATCTTCCTCTTTCCAATGCTCATCAACTCAAGCTGATCAGAAACCAAATGAAATACGCTCCATTCGATTATCTTAAACAAAACTCTCTCTTACCTGAATCTAATTCAAATTATAATGTTTCTTTGAATTCACTTCAACATCGTTGGATTCATCCTAGACCGTTTTCGAATTCTTCTGGTAGATCTTTTGTTAAACAAGATGTTACCGCTGTACTGCTTAATTGGAATCGTCCTGAAAACGTCGTCTTGATTGTTGCTCATCTTTGTCGTTATGATTTTATTCATTCGATTATCATTTGGAATAATAATCATGATTCGAATCCATTGAAGAAAGAGGTGTGTAAGTGATTGACTATCAATAGAAAAATTACCCCTTTTCTTTCAAAAATGACAAATCAAACTCATTTAATGGTTCATTTTTTGGGGGGTATCAATAGGATTTTGTTCATACTGAATGTGCATCCCATAAACTTTCGATCATCAATTCACCTAGTAATTTATACTTTGTGTCGAGATACTTGGCTTGTTTACAATCGGTGACCGAATACTGTTTTTTTCAAGATGATGATACGATTGTCACTTCGATTCGTACAATGTATCATCAATTCAAATCAGATCCTAAATCGATTGTTGTTCAATCTGATCCGATCTATTCAGTAATGTATGGTCACGAATGGTGTTTCAAAAGTATTCATTCATTACCTCATCTGTCTCTCTGAGCAAGACTTTTCACTAATTTTGAACGTTTCTTTTGGGATGGTTTGGTGATTAGATCAAGCTGGTACATTAGATACTTGTTTTGCTTGGTTAGGACATGGTTCATTCGTTTCGAAAGCAATGGTCTTACGGTTCATGAAAACTGTCTCATCTCTTTCACTGCCGGCTGATCAGATCGCTTTATCAGATAACTTCTTTACCACTTCTTTTAATCAAAAACCTTTGGTTATGGTCACCTCTAGTATCTTTAATTTACCGTCTTTGGCTATTGGATTTAGTGATGGTCATCATGGTTTACAACGTAATCGGATTTATATTGTAATGTTCTATTTCCATTTACTTTTTGAGTGAGGGCTTTGGTTTTGGAAATTAAAGTTTTTTTCTTCTTTTTTTTTGTTTTTTCGTAGCAAAAAGGGGTAGAAGAATTATCTAAAATGGTACAGAAAAACCCATTAGAATTCATACCTAGAATTAATTCCAAAGAAGCATCAATGATGAAATCTACAAACTTTTTGGATACGTACATGTTTGTTTGTAATGTAGAAGTGTTTCCGAATTTAACGATTTTTTGGAATTCTCAAAGGTTTGGTAGTTTGGAGTTGTGGGAAAACCGATTGGGTAAGGTTGGAAGGAGTTTGTCGATTAATGAAGCGGGGGAAGTGGGGATTGAGGATGGGGTTTGGAGTGAGGGTGAGGAATGGGTGATTAGGTTTCCGGTCTCGGCTGCTGTGGATGGTGATCTGTCGACTTGTTGGAGATCGATTAATCGTCAGTATAATTTTATTCCTTGTCTTTTTTTCCGTATATGAAGAAAAGAAAAATTGATTGAGGATTTGGTTTTTTGGGTATAGCGATATCTAAAGATGAATTTATTGGAATTAAATTGATTGATAAGGTACGAGTGAATGAAAAGAAACTCAAGATGGTTTTAACGATCAATCGATCAAAAGAAATATTTCAATCGGTTTTACTTCAAGGTTATTTTAATAGTAAATGGATCACTTTAAGCTTTAGTAAATTTGATTGTGAACGGATTGAAAAAAATCAACTTGAACCGTTGATGAACAGTAAAGGTCAAGAAAAAGAAGGAGAAGGAGAGGATTGGATTGAGAGGTGTGTTTGTTTGGTTGAAGTGGATGGGTTGGGCTTGGGGGTGGGGGTGAGGGAAGGAGTGCAAGGGGAAGAGGAAGAAGATGGGTTGGAAGGGATTCGGTTGGTTAGTTTGTTGGATCATTGGTTTGGTTGGAGTGTTTGGGAAATCGAGTTAAGGATCGAAGATGAAGATGAAGATGAAGATGAAGTTGAAGATGAAGATGAAGATGAAGTTGTAGATGGAGTTGTAGAATAAGGTTTTTTTTTGGGAATAGTTGGTCATATTAAAGTAGATTTATAATTCGCATAGGGTTTTGTGTTGTTTGATATATAGATAAATAGATTTCTTTTTTTTCATAGGGTTTTGTTAATTATTTATAGATTTCGTTTTTTGTCTTTGGATTCTTATCATCATCATCATTCCTGTGCCACTTAATTCTGCATTTTTTTTCTACAGTTTCTATAATGCAATTTTATACTGTTTGCATAAAAATTGCCGTCACTCTTTTTTTATTTTTTATTTTTTATTTTTTTAAGTTGCACTAAAAATTACCAACGTAGATTCTACAATAAGAGCTGTACTAGGCTGTACTCCATTTTTTCAAGGGTGTGAAGTTTGTGAAAGATCACAAGTAATGCTGCCTTTGTATCTGAAATGCACAAGCTTTCTCAACCTTTGGTGAGGAGACTCTGTACAATCTTTAACAATTAGCACATCATGACGTACAGCTGCTCTTGTGTAGAATCTGCGTTGGTAATTTTTAGTGTAACTTGAAAAAAAAAAAAAAAAAAAAACTGGACAATGGCATTTTTTCTGCAAACAGCTGTAGTATATGTAGATCAAAACCTTTTTTTACTTTTTTTTGGCTTTTGGGTTTTTGTGGTTGCAAGATCTTGTGGGGTTTGATTGGCTAGTGTCTTATTTGTGTTGGAGAACTTCTTGGGATCGGATACAGGATTATCCCTTGAACTTTATTTCATCTTCAATAGATCAGTGGTCAGCCAAATTGGCTTAAACTGACAACTTGTTTCCTGGCCAAGTAAATTACATACCAATGCTTGAGTCTATCTAATCATCATGATCCACCTTGGAGCTTGAACTGATCTTTACTTAGTACTCTTTTCAAATTAAAGGTTGTGAAATCCTTTCACTGCTTTCAGATCTTTTTACCACTAATTGTAAAACCTAGCTCATTTTTTATCAATTTCTATCCAAGTACTTAAAAAGTGAGTGGTTTTTTGGAGTAACTGTGAGATACTGTTTGAACTTGTTCCATGTTTCATGTTTCTGGGGAATATGTCAGTAAATCAACTTGAATGGATGGAGGGATGTTACCTTTTGATCCAATTTGGTGATGACTCATGAGAAACTGTGTCACTTAAGTTAGGAATGAACTTTTGTGAAATGATAGGATGGTCTGGATCTGTTTATTGGTTATATAGAACCTGTTAAGAATTTTAAGTTTTCTGCATGAACTTTGGGTATTGGATTATTGAAAAGCTTGAGGTTTATCATCATGGTTAGGAAACTTACTTGACTTTTTTTGTTTCTTGGCTTATGTAAGGTGGTTGGTGTCTTGGATTTATTATCAGATTGGGTTTCTTTTTGTGGTCTTTGGTTTTGAATTGAGTCTTGGTTATGAGCTTGGATTATGGTTTTTAATGATGATTGAATTGGCATTGAATGAGTTTGAAAGGTGCAATGGTTTTGAGAAAAAATACATTTGATTCAAAGAAAAAAGCTTGACTGGATTTTTCTGAAAACTTTGGTAGATTGGTGGTTGTGGTTGGGGGGGAGATTTGTGATAAGATTTTTCTTTATGTGACTTTTTGATAATAAGATGTTTTTTAATAAGTTGATAGTCTGGTCAAACAAATTGTTTTTTCTTTAGATGAAACTTCCTTGATGGGTTTTTTGGTGTTTATAAATCTTACAGCCATTCCGATATTTCTTGTCGCTCCGTTTTGAAAAAGAAAAAGTGAAACTCGGTGAAACCTAAGTTTTTAATCCATAAAACTTTGAAATTGACTGTAATTCAAGGAAATACAGCCAATTTTTGGGTTTTAACCAGTTAAAACTTAAGTTTTGAGCTCATAAACTTTTTCTTTTCAAAAATGTGAGCAACAACAAATATCAGAATGGCTGTATGTCTTGTCCTAAGAAATTATTCTGAGCTGTGCCATACCTTTTTTAAGCTACTTAATTTGCCTTGGTAATTAAGTCAGGAGGAAAATTGGATAGAACAAAACTCAAAGTTGCCAGGAATATGGTGTTATTGATTTGAGTGGTATGGAGTATCAAAGAATGGTTGAATAGAATTGGTAAAACTTGATTATCATGAATCTGGGTCTTCTTTTGTTTGGAGCTTGTGTTTTTTGGGCAGGATTGTGTGGTTAAAGTTTTGGTAAAAGTTTATTTCATCTTTTCTCAAGGGCTTGGAACAAACAAATAAGATCATACATCCTCTTCAACTATGTACATCCTAGAGTACTAGAGTTGGCTTAATTTATGGCTTATGACCTACTAGTGACCAAAAAAATATGCAATAAGGTATTACATGGGAAAGGAATAACTAGCCTCTGACCTTTCTGGGCTAGACAAAAACATATGCAAGTTGATGGGTTATGTTAATATGTAGGTATGTTGTAAGAGAGGTACAACTCATACATACCTTACTTTACTTAACAACTTGAGATTTTTCCCGAAGAAATGTTTTTGTATATACCAATTTTGTTTTGGTCTGTATACATATGTATGATAGAAGTATGAATTAATTCTTTATCAATTTGTTTATTTGGAAATGGTTTGAATGTAAATATTTGGAGAGGTTTTGGATAGTTTAATTCATTGATTTGAAGATTTGTCATGGGTCAAGGGAGAATAGAATTGTGTACATGTGCAGTGTATGTGTAGGCCTTCTGTATGCAAGCTCTTGGTTCGGATTTGGTTGGTTGGTTGTAACTTGTGAGTATATGGGTTTAAATTTCTGGATTTCTACAATCTTTAGCGTTTTGTATTACATTCACTTTTGAGGTATAGCTATTTGATTCAAGGGGTACAAGATGTAAGTTAGTTCCTCTGAGTATGCTACCAACTATATTCCCCACTGAAAGTTTCTACATATTCTTTAGGTTGACTTGATCCTTGAGTCTTTCAAAATAGATGTTACAGTATGTACAGCTATATATTTTGTATGTAGGAAGACCAAATTAGAGGGTAAGGTGATTTGGTGGATAAGTGAAATGTGAGGGGTAATGATGAAAGTATCTGACTGTCTACTAATTTTGTCATGGAGCTTACAGGTGTGAGAAACTTCAGATGCCTCATGATAAAATCTAATACAGATCCAGACCACAGTAAAGATCTTGAACAAAAGGATCAGTGTGACAGATTGACTTGTGGATTTTCACTGGACTAGGATTTCTTGTACAGGTTACAAAGAGATAGTAGTCAAGGTGTGCTCCAGAACCAAAGATCCATTGGATATCCAACAGAGCATCCGTTGGATCCGGATGCCGGAAAGGGCTCTGAAACCATCCAGTGGCCAGATAATCCGGCGTCTTGGTTGTCAGAATGGCCTGAACACGCCAGATACCGCAGTCTAAGTGTGTTGTCAGGGACCCAGACCCAATTTTTGGCCGGGTATACGTCGGATCATCCGACGGGTCTGGATGCCAGAAAGGCCTTTGACATCATCTGGTGGCCAGATAATTTGGCGGTTTGGTTGTCAGAATGGCCTGAACTTGCCGGATAGCGGCCGGAGCACACCTTGAGATAGTAGAAGTAGAGCTCATAGAATCCAAGAGAAAAAGTCAGAAAACTCCTTCTTGCAGTCTCTGATTAAGTGATTTATCAGATTGACTTCTGACTTCTCTAACAGATAAAAAACTTACCCAGTTAAAGTTAATCAAACAAAAAAGAGAATAAGTTTGTAGAAGATGATTTGAGCTCAGTGAATGTTCTATCAAGGGTTTTGACCAAAATCTTTAACGTTCACAGCCAAGGATCTTGTAGGTCCTGCAAATACTGAAAAGAAAAGAGAAACTTCTATACTACAATTGGTAAGTCCTATGAAGACAAGATTGTAGATGAAAAGATAAATCATCTTAGAACTTCACTGAAAGTATTCAGACATTGTTTTTTCCACATCTTCCAAAACATGATGTGACTTTGCTTGTGCAAAATTGATTGATCACCTACAGGCAGTGAATCAGAAGCTGCACTGGAGGAATCCTCAAAGAATCACAATAAAAATGCAGCAACATTCTCTAATTATATCTTACCTGTATTGAAGGCAACTGGGGAATAGGTTTGTTTGGATGTAACACCATTAACAATCACAAATGAAATCATAGTAGCAACTTATGAAGCCATACTTGAAAAAGCACCTGTATATGGTCCAATAAAGATTGTAATTAGCAGATTCAGAAGAGATAGGAAGAGGAAGTATTGACAACAGGTTTTGGAAATGTGACTGGGTGGTTGATTTTTGTAGTCAGCAATAAGATATGGCTTGTTTCTTTTTGCTTATGTTTCAGACCACCAACCTCATACATACATTTTATCTGGTCTTATTAAAACACATTGAAGGATCCATAACATGGTTACAAACACAACAAAATCAGACAAAGACAGTTGTATCAAGTTGTGGTACCTAACAATGACAACATGAAAGACACAGCAGGGGACTGATTTTTAAATTATAGAAATTTTCTTCTTCATTAAGTTTTGTACTTGAGCTGGTCAGTGCTAGAGACCATGCTCATCATAGCCTCCAACCTTTGCATCAGTCCTGGGCCCAAGGAATCAGAATTATCTGGACCTCTGATTCACTTACAGGAAAAGCTTTGGACCTTGAAGTATTTCATGTTCTAGGTCATTGTTTAAACCCCAAATATTCTCAATTTTTTCAGACATGGTACAATACAGTGTGTCTTGCACACACTGATAGCAAAATCAAAGGCAGAGGGAAGGTGATTTGTTGGTCATGTGACATCTTTGAAAAGCCACAGATCCTTTGTATCTGAGATTTCTCAAGAAAAAATCTAGAAGTGAGGCTCAATCACTTCAAGTCACAGAATACCTGGATGCTAACCTGAACAATAGGTGAGAACAAATAAATATAAACGAGAAGGAAGTTAAGTAATAATGAAAAGAATTAATGATAAGGATCAATCTATTCAAATGATCCAACCTACACAGTTTCCAGGTCAATTATAAAAACAAGAAGGAATATCAACACAACAGCTTCAGCAAAAGATCCAGTGTCAATATGAGTTGAGGTGAAACAAATAAGATGAGAAAAATTAGCAAAACAAAGAAAACATGAAGTGAGGGTTTTGAAAAAGACTTACTCTTTTCCTCCTGTAAAATAATGGATGAGGAAAAGAGCATTTGAGCACTGTGAGAAAGCTAGACTTTAAACAGAAAATGACATGACAAATAAATTTCTACAATTGAAATGAGATAGTGAAAATATAAAATATTGAGTCAATTTACCAATCTATCATGAATTCTATAACTATCATGTGAGCTGTTGTGTAAGATGATTGAACACAATATTCACTATGAATGGATGTGTAATTGAAACCACTATTCTACATGTGCAAAAGCTCTATACTGATAGTCTAACAAATGATTGAATCTTCCATTATGTCTTCTTATATAATTGTGACAAGTTCTGAAACTAAAGTTCTAGAGAGACAAAAGGATGTCTCTCAATGTTACCAAATGCAAACTATGCCACTAGAGTCAGACAGCATAAAACTAATTATGTGCCATCACCTTTCCACACAAGTAGGACCAAGTCACCAGAGTCAAAACACAGTAAGGACAAACACTTCAACAGTGTGAATGATCAAACAGTATTATTCAAACTTGAAAGGCCAAGTAATTGTACACCACTTGACTCAAGATCTCAACTTCAGTAAAAGTTCTAACAACTTGGAAAGGTGGTTTCAACCTATAATGAGCTTATCTCTCTATCTATCTCTATCACACACTTTCCCTGCATTCCAGAGCACACACTCTCTTTTCTATATTTTCTCTTTTATAACATATATATATATATCACATTTCTAAATCAAAATACCAAACAACTGAACCAAAGATGAAAATACCACTCATCTTATTATGTTTACAAATCTCCTTCTCTAAAGCTAGACCTACAGATACCTCAGAATATCTCAAGGTTTCTGAAAAATTACTACGTGAACAAAATCTTGGCTTTTCGGAAGACTCTTGGGATTGGGACCTTGTAACACAAGAAAAAAACAAATTGTCTGACATTGATTCAGATTCAAATGACTCAGATACCAGTCATCATGGTGGAGATAGGATGTTCTTGGGTGCGACTAGCATTCAAAGCCGTCCTCCAAGCATTTGGGAAAGAGGCAAGTTGATGAATCTCCTTTCAAAATTTTGCTTAAATTTGATCAGGAACTCTGAGGGGAAATGATTAAGATATCTGACTGTCTACTTATTTTATTATGTGATTGACAGGTGCAATGGGATTGGAAGCACTTGTGAAAAAAGATCAACCAGATTTGAACCACATTGAAGACAGTGATATCACAGAACAGGGTTAGTCTGAATCATTGAATCATGCTTTTTCACTGGACTGAAATTGTTGTAAAGGTAAGGAGACACCAGAAAAAATCATAGCACCCAAAGGAAAAGGTCAGTTGATCAATGAGTGGTTTTTTTCAAGTAGCTCATCAGATGAATATATTTTCTCCAACAGAAAAGCAAACCTACCCAGTTACAGCTGATCAAGAAGGAAGGGGTATATGTATGTAGACAAACTCTGGAATTCATGGAATGTGTTACATGAGAGTACTGATCAAACTTTCAAATGGTCTGACCCATTTGAGTTTTGTAGTGCATGATGATATAGGTCACAGAGGTCCTGGAGGATCTTCAATATTTGGAGAGAAAGGAGATACATCATCATTGATCCCTCTGATCCTCAAATTCCTGATGGAAAATTCCCTCAATGTGAGACTTCACTTGAATAATTTGCTCTGTAATCCTACAAAGTTTCACAGCTGACATAAGTGATGTATGTCAACTTCATTCATTTTTCCTCAGGACGTAGAATGTAAGCTATACAATAAGAGTTTCTGAAGGATCAAGAAGAAGCTGCAGAATGTTTCTCCAAGTGTTGCCTACCCATATGGAAAGACATTGGGGGGTGCTGTTTGTAAACAAGTTTGCACAAGAGTATTCTGTGAGGTGCTCATATTAGAGGTGATTCCTGGGCAAAGAAACAGGGCTCATGAGGATTGAGAAAGATACATGGTTTGTTGGAATGTGATTTGGTACTATTGATGAAGGATCACTGGTAGTAGTATTTTTGTAGTCAGGAATGAAATGTGCATGGATATCTGTTTTTTTCATTTTTCCAGTCTTGTGCAGAATTATCTTGATTGAAGAACATCAAATCACCCAATCAATTCATTACCAACACAGCAAACCAACCCCCAAAGATTTTTTATTGAGGTGTTGCATTCACTCAAAGAAGGAGTTTTTTGTTTTTGTTTTGGTATCATAGGATATGCATTTTTTTATCATTATGTTCAGTACAGTTAAACCCGTCTGATATTGTACCCCTCTAAAGCCTTAATCCACCTGTAGGCATGGTTTTTTGGTTCTCCCAAGTTGGGTGGGGCCAAAATGTGTTGAAATATTATAGTTCTGCCTATCACAGTAACCCATACCCAAGATTTGAAAAAAACTCCAATGTAAACCTATAAGAAAATTGGCCGGTAGGTAGGTATGAATCCTCAAAATCTTGCTCCTGAGTATCCTCACACTAATTGGATACATACCATGAGTGACCAAGAAGATGTTTCACCACCAGAGCACTATGGCATCAATACCGCAAGAGCACCGCACTATGTTGCAGTTGCGGTGCGGTTGTGTAGCGCTTTTGGGCGCCGCAATAGCAACGCAATATAGTGCGGTGCCAGCGCTCCACAATCCGGGTTCAAAAAACCCCTTGGTCAGAAACCCGCACCACAATTGCGGTCGGTTTTTGACGGTTATTTAGGGCAAATATTGCGGAAATAGGGCAATATTGCGCATTTTCCGCAATATTTGCCCGACCGCTCCGCAACGGCAAGTTACAAAAAAAACACCCCATTGCGGAGTGGTTGCGTAGCGTAATAATGCGCCGACTGCGCAACGCAATGGAAATAGGTTGAAATCCATTGCGTTGCGTAGCGCTTGCGGTGTTGATGGCATAGTGGCCAAAGTGCTTGACAAAACAAATCCATCTCAAATCACACGCATTAGAAATTGTTGTAATGTTCATCAAGCTCAGCTGAGAACCCAACCCGTATTTTTCATGTCTTTAAAAGGATTTCAATATATAGCCATGAATGTATGTCTATAGAGGTTCTTCCCAACAAATACAAAATCCCTTTATAGCCATAGAATTTGCTTTCCACAGAGGGGTATGGGTTTAGAGGGGTTTGACTGTCTTCAAGACTTTTGACAATCCATGGACAAACAGTGGCTCTCTTAAACTACCTCCTATGTATCTAGACAAGATCTCATGCATCACATAGCCTCACAATTGAGAGCTTGTAGTCAGATGAAGACTTTCTCTACACTGTAATTGTTACTGGCTCATAAATTCCGCCTATCCATGATGGGAGTCAGCTTTGGTAGGAACCAGTCAATGGTGTCAAAGGTTCCCAAAGTTGATCAAAACTGTCTTGGATCAAAGATCCATCATTCCCTATGCTTCCAGCTATTGACCCTTACTAAGTTCTGCAAAAAGAGGCCCAGTTTTGCAAATGATTCCAACTGCCTTTGCAACCACAGAAGTGTCCCCTGAGATTGCAATTATGAGGATTGCACTCAAATTCATTCATCTTAGAGATTAACTCCAGGTAATGTGGGATCAGAAGTCTAACGTCTCTTCATTGTGTGATATCCAAACGGCTGGTACTGTAGAGCCACAAGGTGACTCCTATTGTAGACAGCCCAAGTGCTGTGATACTTGGGAGACTTTGAAGTAGAATTGGGATATGTTTACATCTATCTGATGAGACATCAAAGCTTGGTCATCAATAGGACCAAATGAGAGCCACCTAAATTATTTGGTGTACTACCAGAAATTTTAATCTTGACTGAGGCCCCACTTGTTTGATGTCAACCTTGCAGGTGTACATTTTGCAAGTGTCTACTTGTGCATGTTCAGGTTGACAATGTCTGCCTCACAGGTTATTATAAGAGCCTGGGCTGTTTGGTAGCCCAAACTCAGCCTTCATGAAATCTGAAGATCATGGGCTTCATGAAGGGGATATTTTTTATACATAGAAGTTATTCAAAACATTGATCAAAGATTGATTGATATTTCATCTCACCCATCCACATTGATCCAATATTGATCAATGTTTCCTCTCACTCATTCAAAAGATCTCACCTGGTTATCAACCTACAACTCATGTTGGTTCAAATTTTGATTTTCAAATGGTTCATGTACTTGATCATAACAATTGATCCATCATAGAAATATCATCTCATACCACCTCTATAGAAAACTGAAACTGTCAAAAAGAAAGGAAAAACTCACACTCAGTCTCATCCGAGATACCAGTTATCCAAGCAGGGCAAGACAACTGCTTATCTTGGCAGCCTATCAAATTTGACCAATGTGGAACAATGCCAAAGCCAAGTCTATGGCAGTAGGCACCTCAACCTGCCACTCCAGAATGTAGTTAAACAACCAACCTGCCAGGTTGACTAATTTGACTGGTATATCTGCATACCTGCTGGGCATACGCTTCACCCTTTTTGAAAGAGGGTGTACCAAACAGCTCAACACCAAGTGCATGCTTCAAACTGCCTTGAAGTGTACACCTCAGCATTTGAATGGGTCAACCTGCGAGGTTGACAGCTACCAAACGGGACCTAAGTTCCTCCCATGGTCTTTGGGGGCGAAGGGCTCAGTTTATGTTTACAAATTTGCATATTTACAAACTGCAGTTTGAACACGGGTTGAGAAAAGTGAACATCAATCTTTGCCGACCATATAGAGGAAGGCAGACTTGTACAGAACACAGGAAATCTTAGTAGAAGGTCATAAGGAATGCAGGCAAACCTGCTAGTTGTGATAGGGTAAACCATGTATCATTAACAAAATGTTTTTGATTTCTGAACAGCAATATAGGCTTCACCATTCGGACATACCATCAACAAGTTTTGAATATTCTTCTCAAATTTTACCTGTCAGATTTGCTCAAACACAAGAAATGCATAACTTTACGTAAGCCTGGATATATCATTATGCGGCCTGGATCTATGAAATTTGTCTCAATTATGCTTCATAGTTATCATGAGGGATACAAGCTCGAGAGAATGCTAATCAAATTCAGTCGATCCACAGCAGGATCCATTTGATGTTCCAAAATGTTAACCCTGCGGCAGCGGACACATCTAGAAAGAAGTAAAGAAACGAGTATCCGCAACTTTCTATAGAATTGTCTTCTACCCAGACCGAGACATGTTGGAAGATCCTCTTTATACATAGTGATGTTTCTGGCCAATCAGAGGACACATCCAGAAGAAACGTAAAAAAACAAGTACTCGCGACCCTTTCTAAAAAAATGCTACCAAGAACAGGGCGTAGTACGAGATCCTGGGTGTGCACAGCAAATTTCGTAGCCGATCACAGAGCACACATTTAGAGGATACCGCCACCCCGTATCAATCTCTTTTTTACCAAGAACAAAACGTAGTGGCGGTACCCGTTTATACACAATGTCGTGTAGCCCATCTGCTTCGTGACTGCTGCTTCAGCCTCTTTAGAGACCAGGAAAACATATAGATACCCAATGAGCTCGTCAACATATCCATAGTCAATCTTTTTGCATCTTTCTTACATTTTTCAATTTTCCTTTGTTTTGAGAGTTTCCCCTCTTCATAAAGAATCACTTGCTTTGCCCATAACCAAACTTATTAGTTAAATACGAGTTGGCTAAATCGAAGTTCATCACTTGAAAGATATAGAAAATTACTCGAAGTCTTTTCTCATACCTCATTAGCATCATTGCAAAAAATAGCTTCCAGCATCTACCATTGAACCAGCACCCGGTCCCCACAATGAAGTTCAAGGTTGTGTTATTCTTTCTGAATGTCTCAATGATGGCAGCAATGCCGATGCATCGTCCCGCTGGTTGGAATACTTGGAGAGCGCCTGACTATGCTGAAGCTTCTGGTCGTGCTGAAGATGGTCAACAATTTGCCAAATTCAAATGTTCATATAGAAGAGGATGCTTGCGTAGCTAATCGAGGCAATCCTACAAATTCCATGGTCCAACTTCATACTAGAAAGAGAGACAAGTTATCAAACCTACACAGACATAGTAGGTTAGACTTATCTTGGCTGAAAAGTCATATTCAAAGCTAGACGTTCAAGATGGATAAGCATGGATCACTGACAGTCCCCAAATGTGTCAAGGAATTTTCAGTGAGGGAGAAACTTGACGAAATCTTACACAGACAAGGAGATCATGCAGACCATGAAGGAAGAAATCGTAAGTGCTCTCCTTTCTCATCGTTTTGAACACTGACTGATACAAAAATAACGGAATCTGATGCGTGTAGGGAAAGCAAAAGAGTTAGCAAATAAGATTGTTGAAGGTCAGATTCAATGTCCTCAATGTCTTGTTGGCCCACCAAATTGACTTGTAGTGTCCTGAAATCAACAACAACTTATACAGCAATATTATTGAGACCAAGAAAAAAGAAATCGAGTACGTATTTTAAAACCTTCTACATCAAAAAAAAGCAGGTAATCAAATTTCGGATGATGACTCAACTCAACATTACCAAAACACCAATTATTTGTAGGTAACACTGTTGTGGTAATGGAAGGAAATGAGGAGGAGTCTGCTCAACTTGGTGAGCCAATTCATCGTGTATATAAGGCATCTCCACTATGTATCCAGAAAACGCCAAGGTTTACTTTCACTATGGAATAAAACAGAAATCAGTGTGTAGAGTGACATTAAAGCTGATGTAAGCTATGTAGACGAAACAGATCTTGAAGAAACAATTTCATCAGTACTTGGTTCCGAACTTGTTGAGGGCCAAGAGGCCGTCAATTCAGTACTGGAGGCAGTTCAAGGGATCTTCGCAGAAGTGGACGTAGCAGGGGTTATGGAAAAAGCATTCGAGTTTCTTGGAGAATTGATATCATCATGAGAACAAAGCTTTTTTGGAAACCAAATCCCAATGTTTGACTCAGAGGGAACATTGGCTTGCATATGTTCTTTGTGAATATGTTACAAATATTTGTCAAACATTTCCGGTGGTCTCCGTCATAGATTGGAAAATTAACAATTTCTAGATCAGTGGAAGAGAATTAAATTGTTTAGAGGCATTTCAACAACACTGCTCCGCTGAGGTATGAGATACATAGTGTGTTCTAAACCTGTGTGACACCTCTACAGTTAAATGAGAAGGCAACACAATACAAGACAAGCATACATAGAGGAATAATTGTGTGGTGAGACTAGCATTATGCGGCATTGGGTACACTATGGCCAGAATTTTGATTTCTCCCACATGATATCATGGTATCAAGGGAAAACAATAGAAACTACACAAAAACAAGTAAATTTTGGTGGCCACATTTTGTCTGAGCAGTTTGGAAAAACACTTCCTTGGCTAGAAAACCTGATCCCAACAAATGCTTGCCAAAGAAGAAGACTTAACTATGTAGAGATGTTTGACAAAAATGTTTTCTTGGTTGTTACCATGCATCCATGCTGATATTTAGAGAAAGAAAGATGTTGAGTAGACCACAAAAAATTATGACTCACTTTGTTAAGTTAAAGACACCTGTTATCCATTTTTGTGCCTCATCACAGAGCATGTTTTTCAAGTCATGGATTGCTTGACTGCATATATCAATAACTATAACAAGTAGTAAGAATTGAGACTCATTCACCTGGGATACTGTGAGGGGTCAGCTACTTTTTGGCTGACTCTTCACTAAAAAAGGTGAAGTAAGGGTGGAATAAAGATTAACAAAGTCTTTACTTGGTATAAACAAGTAAAGACTTCAGTTAGTTGACCTCTAAGAAGAGGGTTTAAAGCCAGTGGGATGGCTGAGTAATCCTTCAAAGGAGCTTACTCAAGAGCTCTGTTGGGGATAGAGCCTGCAGAACTTTACACTCTGATTGCTCAAAGGTTCCGCCGGATACTTTACACTCAACTCAGGAGGTATCCTATGCAATTCTAAAGCTTGGTTCTATAACTATATAGTCCCACTAGTTTAGAACCACCGCTTTAAAGCTTACAAGGGCTTGAGGAAGGCTGTAGAACTATAAGATCAAGTACAATAAAATCACTATACTCAATATTCTTGGTAAGAATCAAGTAAGTTGTGATGTGGAATTGTGGAATGATAATAAGTTGGTCCTTCTTCTAGAGTGGGAAGAAGAGGAGTTTATATATTCCAGATCTAGGCGTCAACTTGTGGTTGGCGCTTAGGTTTGCTTTTCTTTGAGTTAGGTTTGGGTTAGGTTTACTATTACTAGTTAAGTCCTAGTAAGTCTTGTTACTTAAGTGACTCTTGAAACTGAGCCATGAGTTGTAATTCTTATGGTTTTAGACAAGTTTCATATAATTACATATGTATTACATATATTTGCATGTGTGTTTGTTAGTCCGTGGTCCTGTACACAGGGCTCAGGGCTGACATTCCCCACCACCAGAGAAGGTTATCCTTCTACTGAACTGCTGTATCCCTCTTAGATGCTCGAAAAGCTCTAAGAGTCACCTTTGAGTTAGGTACTTTATCTCCTGGGAGCCATTCATCCCCATCTGCTCCTTTACCTTTATACCTGACCAGGTATAAGATGGTGTCCTTACCATCCTTATCTTTAACCCGTTTATCTTTGAGTATCTTCAAAAATTTCTTCTCTCCTTCTGGCTCATATGGAGGTATGACTACTACTGGTACCGTCCTTGTTTGTCGAATATCACTAGCCTCAGGAGGAGTGACTTCTTAATCAGGGAAA